TTAAGAGATGGGGTTTCACCATGTTGGCCAGGATGGTCTCAAACTCCTGACCTCAGGTGATTCACCCACCTTGGCCTCCCAAAGTGCTGGGATTATAGGCATGAGCCACCACACCCGGCCTCCAATTTTTTTTTTTAAGAGACTGGATCCTGCTGTGTTGTCCAAGCTGGTCTTGAACTCCTGCCCTCAAGCAATCCTCTCACTTCAGCCTCCCAAGTAGCAGGGACTACAGGTGCATACCTGTCATTTTTTTCCAATTTAATTCCACTGTGGTCAAAGAACATACTTTGTATGAGTTGAATCCTTTGAAATTGATCAAGACTTGTTTCATGGGTGGAATATGTTCTGAGTGCGTTTGAAAATAATGTGTATTCTGCTGTTGTTGGGTGGAGTATTTTGTAAATGTGGTCAAGTTGGGTTTGTTTGTTTGTTTGGAAACAGGATCTCATTCTGTTGCCCAGGCTAGAGTGTGTGGTGTGATCATATCTCACTGCAACCTTGAACTTGTGAGCTCCAGCAGTCCTCCTGCCCTACTGTCCCGAGTAGCTAGGACTACAGGTGTGAGCCACTATACTCAGCTAATTTTTGGGTATTTTGTAGAAACAGAGACAGAGCCTTACTTTGTTTCCCAAGCTGGTCTCAAACTCCTGACTTCAAGCAGTCCTCCTGCCTCAGCCTTCCAAAGTGCTGGGATTATAGGTGAGAGCCACCATACCTGGCCTGGTTTTAGAATCTTTTTTTTTTTTTTTTTTCCCTACTAACAAAATCAGGGTTTTATTCAATCTTCTTTCTCTTTGACCTCTGTGATATATGGAGGTGGTTTTATTTTGCATTTCCAGCCGGCTTCCAGACTTGCCTCCTCTCTGATTTGAAACTCACACGTTGCTGATGTTCTGTCATGAGGCTCCAACTGCACCTGCAATAGAGACTCTAAACCCCCAAGGACAGCATTTAGAGTCTTTCCCAGCCTGGCCTCAGCTGACATTTCCAGATGTACATTGTGCCAAGGACAATGTTTTAGAATCTTAGACAAGATTTTAGAATCTTAAACAGTATACTTTCATTTCTGGCCTCCCAGACTTTGAACCATGATTCTCATGCATTTTACTGTTACACGTGTTATAAACCTGCAGTGTATTGTTTTATTTTTGCTTTAAATAGTCACTTATCTTTTAGATACTTAAATAGGCCGGGAGCAGTGGCTCACACCTGTAATCCCAGCACTTCGGGAGGCCAAGGTGAGTGAATCATCCAAGGTCAGGAGTTCAAGATCAGCCTTGCCAACATGGTAAAACCCCGTCTCTACTAAAAATACAAAAATTAGCCAGGTGTGGTGGCATGCACCTGTAATTCCAGCTACTCAGGAGGCTGAGGCAGGAGAATTGCTTGAACGTTGGAGGCACATGTGGCACTGAGCCAAGAGCTGCACTCCAGCCTGGGCGACAAAGCAAGACTCCGTCTCAGTGAATGAATGAATGAATGAATGTTGTGAACACTATTAGAGGCTCGCCTCAGTGAGGACTGATAGTAGCCAGTGCATTTATCTGTTAGTAAACTAAGAAACAAATGATCAAAGATTATTTCCTTTTTATTTATGACCTTTTATTCAGTTCAGTCTATAATCTGTGCCTGGTCCTAGGGGTAGAAAGGTCTGTGACTTGGTCCTGCCCCCAGGCAGCTCATCTTGTAGAGGCAGACATAACAGAAGTAGCTGCTGTGATATGGCGTGTGCTCTGTTGGAGAAAACTGGATCATGAAACAAGGAAAAATGTTTCTAGAATGCTCTTAGGACATGTTGCCAAGGACTGTTGATCATGTTGCGCTTGATGGTGAATGCTTGGAAGCAGCCTGGGTGGAGGGCAGGGAGTTACTTTTGCTAAGGAGCCGGCTCAGAGTGGATTCTGTAATCCGAGCCTCATCTGAAGCGTGAGTCTGTACCTCCCTGCAGAATTGCCAGGTTTCATGCAGGAATTCAGTGGCCTCTGATTGGAGGGCTGGTGCTGGTGGGATAATGAACTAGGTAGTGTCGGCAGAGGTGATTGGCTGGGCTCTGCTGCAGTGAGAATGCAGACTGGATGCTCGAGCTCGGCTTGGGTGATGAGCGAGGACAGCTGAATAATTGGGAGCTCGAAGTTCCTTCTGCCTCTGGGAGTGGTCTGCTTGGCTGTCGCGTTTTCCTTTTTTTTAAAAAAGCCAGACGTTTGCTCACCGTCATCTGCAGAAGTCAGTTTTTATTGAAGAAGCTCCAGCTGCTTTCTCCTTATTGCCGGCAGCCCGGCAAGGCTCCCTTAGAGTGAGCTACTTCTCAGGCCGGGCACGACAGCAGTGCTAGCACATTTGAAAAAGCAGGAAACTGCCCCTGCATGCAGAGCTTCCAGCCTGAGAACTCCCAGGCCGGTCTTCCCAGCAGCTGTGTAGCCAGAGAGCCTTGGTATTGTGGTCACATCCCTCAAAAGTGAACAGTCACCATCGGAGGCGTTTGGAGGAGACCGTGATGTTGCAGATGCTGTGGCATTTCCTAGCTAGCTTTCTCCCCAGGGCTGGGTGCCAAAGCTCCAGAGAGGGGGACGATCATGAAGTCAGAGGCACCCCAGCCCCTGCCCGGAGAGACCAGATGGCAAGCTTTTTGGGGAAACAGGACGGAAGGGCTGAGGCCACGGAAAAGAGACCCACCATTTTGCTGGTGGTTGGACCTGCAGATCAGTTTCCTAAGGTAATGTTGGCCTCAGGAGGACCTCCTAGTTTAGGGACTGGTCTGGGATCATTTTCCTGGGGAAAAAATGACTGTGGGGAGGAAGGGAGAACTCATAACATTAGTTTGGGGTTCAGGGAGAAGTGGTAGGCAATGAGGAGGCCCACAAATTCCATCTAAAATCTTTCTGTGGCACCTGTGAAAGCTACATTACCCACTGCAGTCACCCCAGTGTGGCTGTTGGGGGAGGTCGCAATAGATTTGCCTTAGGATTTGTTAGTTTGGCTGAAGAAAGCCATTTGAAAGTAAGGGACAAACTGTGAAAGTGTGCCTTAGCTTATCTGAACAGCTCAGGAAGGGCGAGAGAGTGCACATCCACCATGGAACCCCGTTGCTGGGAGCTATGGGGGTGGTCTTGGCATCCTGAAGGTCACAGTCCCCTTGCCTGGGTCCGACCCATCTTTCCTTTGGGTCTGGGAGGAAGAGTGAAGGCGTGAGACTGGGTCCGAGGAGATGCTGGAGTCATGAGGCGCAGAGGCTGGTGCCCCTTTGGGAATGACTGCGGGTCTGCCAACTGCGGGGTCTTTCATCCCTCCCGAGCCCTGAGCGTGAGTTACCATCCTCACAAGAGCCAAGGTAAGTGGTAGTATCCCCATTTCGGGGATGAGGAAACCGAGGTACAGAATGGTTACATTCCTTGCCAAGGGTTAAACAACTAAAAAGAGGTGGAGCTGAGATTTCGTCCCCCAAATCCTTGCCCTGTGCTGCCTTATTTTCCCTTAGGAAAGCAGTTTTTAATGAAACTAATGGAGTATTCAGTATTAAAAAGGAAATTGCCATTTGGCTCAGATTTCTCCTACCTGCCAGAGTGACCTGGTTCACCTCCTGAGCTTTGGTTATTTTAGAATCTTTTTACTCAGGATAAAAAGCAGAGAAGAAAAGGAGATTCTGCCCTGTTTGGCACATTGTAGATACTGCAGAAATGTTAAGTTGAAATACCTTGCCTTTGCTAATAGAGACTTTTGATGTAATAACACTTGCAGTCCTATGGGCACTGGGAAGAAGTCCTCATCTTTGACAGGTTCCTTCCAAGTGGAGCAGTGGGTCTCTTAGAGTCTGTTATGCCCAAGATGTGCATACTTAATATGCAAAGAGAGGGTGTCACTTTGTACCTTTTGATTGTTTTAGACAAGATTGGAAATGGCTGTGGCACTAGCTTTGTGAGCAACTTTTATCCATAGACCTGCTTGCCTTATTACTACCTTGAATGGCTGACTGCCTTTTAAAATCACCTATTTTTGTCTTCAGTAATTAACTGCACTATTTTTCAGCATCATACAGTACCCCCTTGCCAGCTCTCCCCCCAGAGGTGGCCTCAGGGTAGAACTTTCTGTTCTGAACAGCTTAGTTCCCGGCCTGCAGAATCGAGAGACCCACACCTTTTACTGGCTGATCCCCAGAAGAGAGACAGTTCAGCTGGCTGCAAATTGGGGGAGCCCCAAGTGGGAGATGAGGCAGGGTTTGAAGCAAGGGAGAAAGCACATCTGGGCAGCCACAAAGCAGAGAGACCAAGAACCGGAGTAACAGCAGCAGGGATGCAGCCCCTGTCCTTGCCCAGAGCAGTGCTCTGAAGGTGTTTGGGGTTTGTGATCACTGACTGGGGCTGGCCTCACCAATTCTCTCATGAAAGGACCTCCAGAATGTTTTGGAAACATTTTTGAAAAGTTCACTTTAGGCCGGGTACAGTGGCTCACAGCTATAATCCCAGCACTTTGGGAGGCCAAGGTGGGGGATCACGAGGTCAGGAGTTCAAGACCAGCCTTGTCAATATGGCGAAACCCCATCTCTACTAAAAATACAAAACTTAGCAGGGTGTGGTAGTGCACACCTATAGTCCCAGCTACTAGGGAGGCTGAGACAGGAGAACCGCTTGAACCTCGGAGGTGGAGGTTGCAGTGAGCCGAGATTATGCGCCACTGAACTCCATCCTGGGTAGCAGAGCAAGATTGCATCTCAAAAAAAAAAAAAAAGAAGAAAAAGAGAAACACACTTTGGTTCTCTGGCTTCTCACTGTCCCAGAAGCACTACTTTGTTTTGCTCTCACTTCCCCTGTTTAAATATGTCTGCTAGTGAGTCAGGTTCCTGCAAGCTTTTATTCTAGGAACTGCTCCAGCTTTTCCCTTTATCTTTGTCCTACAATTAATCTGCAGTTGGAGAAGAAAGCCATTACTCTGGAGTGGGAGGTGCCCTCAGCGGCATTCAAGCTTTCAAATCCTGAGGGGCTGTCTTCTCGGAAGCACAGAGAATTTTGCTCATTGTGTGTGTAATTGCCAAGTGTAGGTAGGTTTCATTGGAAACTGGCTACACTAGGCTGTCATGGCAACCTGATCATCAAATGACAGTGTGGCCACAGCTGCCAATGAGGTTTGAGAGCCTTAAGGGTGGGTGGGGCTTGCAGCTGGATGCTGGCAACGCTCCCTCCACATATTAATATTTCTGGCTCAGTCTGAGTCATTGCAGAGGAGGGGAGAGGAACTTTCTGACCTAATGCTACACTCCCAGAGGCACTGTACCTGCCCTGTTCTTATTCGTGATATTCCGGCCCTTACAGGAAGCACTTGCTGTCTTCTGGCATGTAACAGAGTGGTAGAACAAGGAAAGCTTTTGGTGGCATTGGCAGATTTGCTGTGAGAAGATGCTCAGGAGAGGAACTGCTACTTTATAGATTAATTGCAATCTGATGCCACTGAATCCTAAGGGACCTAGTGTTGCTGTCACTATTTACAAATACTAGTCACAGGAATGGACGTCGGAGGAGCTGAAACAGATGGGGGTCTATGCCACCAAGTCAGAATAATAAAGAACAGAGAGGAATCACACACAATGTGTGCTGTGCCCAGATCTTGGAGTGCTGAGCGGGCTGGTGTGAAACATCAGGGCTGAAACCCAAGGCCTGCTTTAGTTCTTCCGTAATCTAGTTCTCATAGAGGTGTTCAGAAGCTATGACACAAGCACGGTTTTTGGTTGTTTTTAGATAGGGCTCAATTTGCTCAAGTTACACCTTTCCCACACACCTACTGCCTTCCAGTATGAGGTATTACCTCCTGTCATTCCCAGTGTCTGGCTTACCGGCATTCTTTGGGAACTGAATACTGTTATCTCAGTTTTGGGTGCTGTTTGAAGTGGATGTTGTAATAGGAGCCCTGGGTGCAAGGCCCTGCCTTGCATTGACAGGCTTTGGGAATTGGGCAAATCAGGTCACCTCTCCCAGGCCTGTTTGCTCCACTCAGAGATTAAGGGATGATCCCAGAGCCCTTCTGGGCCCCGCAGTCTGCAATTCCAGAAATAGAGTAGTTGTCCTGGACACTAGGCACCTGGAGATTGGCTTATTTGGGTAGAATTCTCCATTTTTACATGAAGATGGAGTTCTGAATTGCCTGTGGAACTCAGTAGGACGGATAATTTAAATAAGCAAATGCCAATTGAAGTTTATCCAATGAAGACATTCTGTGGGACCCAGTCACGGCAGCAAATAGGTTAGAACCCTTTTTAAAAACTAATATTGGAGTAGAATTGATGTTAGTATTGTAAAATAACATCTTGACAAGTACATGCAGACCATTTCAGAGAACATTTCCTGACCCCATGATACTGTTGGTCTGTGTATAGCTTTGTTATGATCAAGGAGATTCCATTCTTTTTTTTTTCTAGAAAACAATTGTTCCTATTTGATAAACTTTAATAATTTTGCCTTATAATATAGAATATAAGTTTCAGGCTGGGCACAGTGGCTCACGTTTGTAATCCCAGCACTGTGAGAGGCCAAGGAGGGCAGATCACTTGAGGTCAGGAGTTTGAGACCAGCCTGACAAACATGGTAAAACCCTATCGCTACTAAAAATACAAAAATTAGCTGGGCATGTTCGTGGGTTCCTGTAGTCCCAGCTGCTCAGGAGGCCGAGGCAGGATAATCGCTTGAACCCGGGAGGTGGAAGTTGTAGTGAGCTGAGATTATACCACTGCACTCCAGCCTGGGCGACAGAGCGAGATTCCATCTTAGGAAATAAAAAGAAGAAGAAGAATACATGTTTCACTTTTATTTAGTATCATTTTCAAATCTCTTCTCAGATTTCTTTTGTTAAATATGTTATAAAACTCAATAGTACAGTTATATGTACCATAATTATTTTTAAAATACACTTTATTAGAAAATAAAATATTCAATTTTACTTAAAAAAATTTGCTTTTTTATATTAGAATGACTGTAGTCATCACTAAAATGAGTGACTTAACAGATCTGTGTAATTTATTTTAGTTTCAGAAGCAAATATGAATAATTTAACAAAGGAAGACCAGCTTTTTTTTTTAAAGGGCAACATCTCATTCTATAAAATAGAATGAGCATTCCTGAAGACGAGCATTTTAAGGCTTAGCTCTTTTTTTTTTGAGACGGAGTCTCACTCTGTTGCCCAGGCAGGAGTGGTGCAATGGTAGTCTCGGCTCACTGCAACTTCCACCTCCCAGGTTCAAGTGAGTCTCCTGCCTCAGCCTCCTAAATACCTGTGATTACAGGTGTCTGCCACCATGCCCAGCTAATTTTTGCATTTTTAGTAGAGACAGGATTTCACCATGTTGGCCAGGATGGTCTCGATCTCCTGACCTTGTGATCCACCCGCCTCAGCCTCCCAAAGTACTGGGATTACAGGCATGAGCCACTGGGCCCGGCAACTTGAACCTTTTTTAAAATAAAATAATAGAGGCTAGGCACAGTGGCTCATGCCTGTAGTCTCAGTACTTTGAGAGGCCGAAGCAAGCAGATCACTTGAGGCCAGGAGTTGGAAACCAGTCTGGCCAACATGGTGAAATCCAGTCTCTACTAAAAATACAAAAATTAGCCAGGCGTGGTGGTGGGCGCCTGTAATCCCAACTACTTGGGAGGCTGAGGCACAAGAATCACTTGAACCTGGGAAATGGAGGTTTCAGCCTGGGTGACAGAGTGAGAGTCTGTCTCAATAATAATAAAAATGATAGATTATCTTGTTCATTTCAGTATAATGCCCTGACAACTCTATTTGCAGGTGCTCAGGAAAATAGGCCTTCGTCAAGCACGGTCATAAGTTTGTTTCTTGGGGTCTCAGAGGCCCCCTGAGCTGATTCACTCATTTGGAAGCTGTTTATGAAGCACCTTATTTGATCAAGGCAAGATGTTAACTCCAGACAAGGAGATCCAAGGGTTTGAAGCAAGAGCCTTCTACCTTCAAGGACCCTGGTGGTAGAGATAAGAAGCCTGTTAAAATAGCCCAAGGCAGAACATTCTGGATTGTGCAGCTTAAGAGACAGCTGAGTGTCATGGATTTAGTAGAGGCTGAACAGGAATCTGCCTGGATAATCCAGTGAAACCTCATAGGATCTGCCACTAGGGTAGTCCAAGACCTGTTCTCACAGACTTGTTATCAGATCTCTGTTAGAAGGGCCTAAATGTCATATCACGTGTCATAATCTCTGTTTCATAATGTTGTGTGTAAGTATCAACATCTTCTAACACCCTCTTTACGAGTTAACAACAAGCTTTTTAGTGCATTAAGAAGTCCTTTTACTTCTGTGATCCCCAAGGAATAGCTATCCATTTTTATCCATCCCAGTAGTGGGAAGATGTAGTCTATATTAGGAAGTGGCGCACTGTGGAAGGAACAAGGGTGAGACTGAGCCTGTTCTCATCTTGGTGACGTGGTCTCTTCCTCCGCAGCACGAATCAGGGGGGAAGGAAGGAGTGGAGAATTCAGCCCGGCCTGCAGAGGATCGTCCTCCCCTGAAAAGGTCGTTCTAAAACTGTTGCCCAGTAGAAGTTTCCGTGATGGCGGAAATGCCCAGTGACTATGTGTGGCTATCCGGGGGAACTGAGTTTGTTCATTTCATTTTATTTTAATGAATTTACTTTTTTTTCTTTATTGCCAGAGTTCTTTTGGCTATTAATGAATTTACTTTTTTTTGAGACACAGTTTCCCTCTTGCTCAGGCTGGAGTACAATGGCGCAATCTGAGCTCATTGCAACCTCTGCCTCCTGTGTTCAAGAGGAGCCCACCGCTATACCCGGCTAATTTCTGTATTTTTAGAGATGGGGTTTCGCCATGTTGGTCAGGCTGGTCATGAACTCCTGACCTCGGGTGATCCGCCCTCCGCGGCCTTCCAAAATGTTGGGATTACAGGCATGAGCCGCCATGCCCAGTTGGCTATGACTTTATATTTAAAAAGCTTCTGTGTTGAACAGCAAAGTTCTAGCTGTGAGTAAGACTGGACTTCTATGTGTTCTGAGTGGACGTGGGCATTGAAGACTGTGGGTCTCATGTGAGGCCTCGGCTGACCCCAGATTGATGCTTATGGGGAGTCCATCAGCATGGTGCCCTCTTCCCATCCCCATCATGTCAGTTCCTGGGCACTCTGGGGCCCCCAGGCGAAAGCTGGTTCCTCAGTGCTCACATTGCAGAATGGCCTGGAAAAGGTTTCAATGCACTGATCACATGTGGGCTGTGAAGGGCACATGTGGTCTATGGAGTTCCCTGAAGCAGGAGCCAGCTAGAACTGTGCCAGGAGTCATGTGTGGCCAGGGCCTCGGCCAGCCAGAGCAGCTCCCCTGCAGGATACATGGACCCGTGGTGGGGTCCACTTTCCAGGGCACCTGGCTCTCAGCCACCCCTCAGCCTCCTCTCATAGCTGAACTGGACCATTTTCAGTGGTGATCAGCTCTGTCTCTATCTACTGATCTTTTGATTGGGAATGATTTACTAAAAGGAGAAAACTGTTGTGTTGTGTGACGAGTTTGGGGATCTTGTGTGAAAACAGGCTATACGCTGTTTGTTCATTTGGAGGGGTTGGCAGCCAGAGGGTGAAGGTTTGTTTGGGCTCCGTACCTAGTATCCAGGCAAGCAGAATGTGTCACCCAGCCTCTTCTCCAAGAGTTAACTGCAGGGAGGGAGCTGTGACGTCAGCCCTGATCTTTGTGCCTCTCACTTGAGCAACCTGATGCGCCTTCTCCCCCGGGCTCTATGTTCATTGGCTGTTAGCAGACCTGTCGTGGGTGGGTTTTTTTTTTTTTTTTTTTTTTTTTTTACGGCGTTTCGCTCTTGTTACCCAGGCTGGAGTGCAATGGCGCGATCTCGGCTTACCACAACCTCCACCTCCTGGGTTCAAGTGATTCTCCTGCCACAGCCTCCTGAGTAGCTGGGATTATGGACGTGAGCCACCACGCCTGGACTTCTTTTTCTTTTTTCAATTAAGCAAAAGGGTGGGGCTTAAGCAGCCAATGATAGCTGAGGCCCGGCTTGTCTTATGCAAGTTTCCCGGGACCGGCTGCATTTAGAGAACTTGCTCCCGGTGGCGAGGGCAGCAGAGCACCCAGCAGGCCACCAGCATGCTCTGCCTGTGCCTGTATGTGCCAGTCATTGGGGAGGCCCAGACCGAGTTCCAGTACTTTGAGTCCAAGGGGCTCCCTGCCGAGCTGAAATCCATCTTCAAGCTCAGTGTATTCATCCCCTCCCAGGAGTTCTCCACCTACCGCCAGTGGAAGCAGGTCTGTGGGGGGACTGCGCAGGGGGGAGAGGCGCGTTCAACCGGTATTTGTTGAGTGAATGGCTGAGCGTGCATGAACCGTCCCCCGCTGACAGGAAAGAATGTCTGAAATGTAGGAGGTTTTCCCATTGTCTTGTGGCTATGGCCGGCACGTGTACGTCACCGGAGTGACTGGTTTTCATGTGACTTCCCGGGAAGGCTGGAATTCTAGCGAAGGCTGTTATGGGAGATGGGCTTTCGGAAAGGAAATTCCTTTTGCTGGAATGAGGGGGGTGTTCCTGAGAAGTACAGGGCCCCAAAGGGGTGTAGGGGGCAGGCCAGGAACACATGGGAGAAGGCAGGGAGGCCCAGGAGTTGGGAGGGTGCTACGGGGTGGAGCTGCCATCCCTGATGTGGGGGTGAGAAGCCTTCTCGACCCTCAGACATCCCAGGGAGCAGGGCCTGTGTCCACCCTGAAGGTTGGGAAGCTCAGCTGCGGAGTCTGAGGGCCCCTTGCCTCCTCAGCTTCTCCTTCTCGGGTAATCAGCTTCCCTGATACCCACCCCCCATGCCCACTGTGCACTGAGGAGGATCTGCATATCCAAGGAAGGAGACAGAAGGAGTCCCAGGCCCTGTGAGGCAGAAGCAAGCACTTTGAGAATGTGTTGAAGCCAGCTGCGGCGAGCACACCCTCTGCTCCGGGTGTCTGTGTGGCAGCGCCCACCCCAGGGAGGCACGTGGCTCACCCTGGCAACAGGCAGCTGGGTACCAGAGGGCTCTGTGCTTAATGTTCGCCTTCTCTGTAAGTGGCTTTTCCACTCTATTTCCATTCCTGTCAGGGATCTGGAGCAGTCACCCTATAGGTGATTTATGTCGCCCTTGGCTGAGAGCACAGATGCCCACAGGAAGTTAAATGTAACCTCAGATAGCAGATAAAATATGTTCGAGCATCTGTCCCACATTCCAGCCACACCCCTCGCATTAGCCTTTTGATCACACCAGGTCACGGGGTATCTGTCCAGGCCTCCCTGCCCCTGGTACCCTTGGCAGCTGAAGAATCACAAGGCACTGTCAGCAGTGTGTCTACAAGAGAGGCATGGGGGTGATCCTTTGAGGACCAAGCTAGCCAGTGGGACATCCAATTCCAAACCCCTGACTGGCTGTCAGTTGATTTCTCTCGGTGAGAAGTGTGGGGGACACAGGAAGACCATATCATCTTCCTTGGGAGATTCTCGGTTCCAGTTTTGGGTTCCAGATTCAGGGTGTAGCTGAGTTAGGGTGACTCACTTTCATCCCCCACATTCTGGAAGTTAGTCTCCAGGGTGGCGGCAGGATCTGCAGGGAGGTGGCCTGGGAGGACCACAGCCTGACTTGCATCCCGCCCACCACTTCCCTAGCTGTCTGACCTTGTGTAAATATTTAGCCTCTCTCAACTCCTGTTTCCTTCTCTGTAAAATGGGGGAAATGGCATTTCCTACCTCCTAGAGCTGTTTGCGAGGGGCGAGTGTTATTAGAAGCAAAGCATTTAGCACGCCCTGCAGCCCGTGCTGGGTGCTGGGGAGATGGGCGCTCTCATGAAGTCCCAGTTGCCAGGCATCCGAAACCATTAACAGCTGCTGAATGAAGCCCACCTCCTGGGAAGCGGGGACATGGTGGCGGTATTTTTGGAACCTCACAGCCAAGGAACAGAGTCTCTCGAGTCACTAAAGTGGTTTTCAGTGACTGATTGAGAGAGCCAGGGTGGTGGTATTATCTGGCTTCCCAGAGAGCAAGGACTGGCAGTACCATCAAGCACATACCCTTGGCTCCCCACACTTCACCAGCCTCGGGTGCTCTCTGGCAGGGTCTGGCTGTGCCCCCTATTTTCATCCTGGCCACCAAATTATTCTGGGACTAATGCCACCTTTAGGAGAGAAAGAGCAAGCTGCAGCGTTCTTATCGGAAATGGCCATCCCCAGGTCTCAGCAGGGAGCATGTGTGGTTGAAGCCTGGGTCCAGGGACCCAGGGACGGCACTGCAATGGGGCCAAGCAGCTAACCCTGGCTGTACAGCACGTGGGTCTTCAGACTGAGAGTGCACCCAGCTGTCCCTGTTAGCCTCTGTCCAGAGGGCTCTTCCCGGGCTCCTTGTTCCCTCTCTGCTTGGGAGGGAGGTTCTGGCCAGCACTTGGGGCTCTAGGTGGTGGCTCTGGCATGTGAGTAAATTGCCATGGTGGCTCTGGGAGAAGAGCAGAAGCATCTTGGGGCCAGCTCTGCTCTCGGATTAGTGCAGTCATTGCCTGGGGACGGGGCCTCACAAGGGACAAGGAAAGGCTGATTGAGGAGCCAAAACCGAAAACCTTACTTTTCTTTTCTAGAAAATTGTACAAGCTGGGGATAAGGACCTCGATGGGCAACTAGACTTTGAAGAATTTGTCCATTATCTCCAAGATCATGAGAAGAAACTGAGGCTAGTGTTTAAGAGTTTGGACAAAAAGAATGATGGTGAGTGCCGCCTTCAGAGCTGCAACTGGTCCAGCCTCGGGCCCCTCCGTGCGCCCGGCTCCTGTTCACAGCCTCTGTTCTTGTAGGACGCATCGACGCACAGGAGATCATGCAGTCCCTGCGGGACCTGGGAGTTAAGATATCTGAACAGCAGGCAGAAAAAATTCTCAAGAGGTGAGTGCTCAGCCGGCCTCTGCATTTGGATTAAGTGTGATGAAAGGAAGACTCTGAGGCTAACCCTGCGATGCCATTCCCTGTGCTGACGCTGTCGCTCTGAACTTGGCCTTCTCATGGTTTGAAAGGATGAATAAGTAACCCCCCCTGGAGGCCAGCCCCTCCCCAGGCTTGCAGGCCAGCTTTCATTTGAAGATTCACAGATCACCTGGAATTTTGCCCATCGGCCAGCAGCCCATGAAGTGAAAACTGATTTGGGGGTGGTTCCAGTAGGTAAAAGGCCCGCACAGAGCACCTGTGCATGTGTTGGGGGTGGTGCAGAGGGGCTCACACTGCAGCCTTTATCCCAGGTAAATTTCTTCCCCATGCTGGTAACTTGCACTTAACGCTTTAGTCAGAGGTGCTGCCCCAAAAGATAACTCCCTGGTGAGGAGCAGCTGCCAGGAAATTGCACGGAACAGCCCCAGAGTCGCATCTGTCCTGGCTGGGCCTTCCCAAGACCCTGTGGACTGAACATTGGCCGGTCCTCGGGGACAGCAGCCCTGGCACCCGCTCCCTGGTCTCCTGGCTGGGCCTTCCCAAAACCCTGCGGGCTGAAGACTGGCTGGTCCTCAGGGACAGCAGCCCTGGCGCCCACGCCCTGGGTTCAGTCGCTGTGGCGGGCTCATCTCATGCTGTGCTGTGCCCACGTCTCTGGGTGTGTGCTTGCTTCACTAACATGGCTCTGAGCACTTATGCGTATTGTTTCTCCTCTCTCCTCTGCATCCTTTGTCTGTCTGTCAGAATACGAACGGGCCATTTCTGGGGCCCTGTCACCTAGTAAGTATCCGTGTAGCTCGCGACTGCCTCCCTTGACTTCTGTGCCTGATCAGAACGGGGTTCTTGTGGGCCATTATATTCCCATTGTTGTGCTAAGTGGGGTGTGGAGCCCCCTGCCCTTTCTCCTGGGGGCAGAGGCGCCTCCTGTGTTTTCTGGGCAGCCAAGGCACCTGCCCTTGGCTCACTGGGAGGCGGCTGAGGGGGTGCAGCTGGCGGGTGGGCATGTGGACCCGTGGGCAGCCTCGCCTCTGTCTTGCAGCATGGATAAAAACGGCACGATGACCATTGACTGGAACGAGTGGAGAGACTACCACCTCCTGCACCCTGTGGAAAACATCCCGGAGATCATCCTCTACTGGAAGCATTCCACGGTGAGCCCCGCGCCCCAGGGGCCCTGAGCCCAGCGCCACTCAGAGTGCGGCCGAGGTTTTCCAGCTGCCTCCTCTTCCACAGGAGACTGTCCCCTCCTCTGCCAGCCCAGTAGAGCTCTCCACATGCTCCCCCTGTTCTGGCACCGGCCAACCTGAACAGCCCCATCGTTCACACACAGGATTCCTCTTCCAGGAACACCTTCTGTCCCCACATGCTTGCTGCTCTTCAGGGCCCACTTCAGGTGCCCCTTTCCACGGTGCTGCCTGTTCTCCCAAAGCTGGTGTGACCCTTCCTCCCAGTGGGAGGGGGCGGAGGCAGAAGCTATTCTGCAGAGAGCTATGAGGTGTCCCCACGGTGGCACACTTGCTGCCCATTCACCCCCGTCCACCGTGGTTTCATGTTCAGAAATGCGAGTCTGTGTCAGCCTCTGCCCCTGAGCCCCTCAGCATGGCGTGTCCCTCTCTTGAGTCCTGGTGTGCAGTTCTGACCCCCTGGACCGTCCACTCCAGGAGGGGAGGCCAGAGGTGCTCCTCATCTGCCTTTCACAGTGCCAGGCCAGGGTTTGTTGAGTGAACTTAAGTGGACAGCTCAGGGGTGGGAGCAGCTGGCCCGGAGCTCTGGCCTTTAGCCCTGGGATCAGAGCAGAGGTGGCTCTGATCAGCTCGGATGCCACTCGGAGAGAGGTTACGCAGGCAGTGAGTCCTCATGTTTGCCGAGGCCTTGCATAATGTTCTGCCAGTGTGATCCGGTTACACGTGAGGTTTCGGGTGGCTTTTACCCCGACTTGATCCCTCTAGCACAGCCAGCCTGGTGACCTCACACAGGCCTCGTGAGCTTTTCTTGCAGGAGCTCCCTGGCAGCATTGGGAAGGGTTGGTGAATGGTTTTAGAACTGGCACCTTCCTGCTGTGTTCAGCTAAGACTCTAACCTGTGCCTCTCCAGGGCCCCAGTTGGGGTGAGAGCTCTGCTGCCTTCAGAGTGAAGGGGAAGGGCCCCAGCCCGCTTCCTACCCAGGGTCCCTGGCCTAGAGCCATGCTAGAGGGTACAAGGTGACCGGTGCCAGCAGCCTTGCCCCAAGGGTCCTGAATCAGGCTTGTGCCATCTTTCCTCACAGATCTTTGATGTGGGTGAGAATCTGACAGTCCCTGATGAGTTCACAGTGGAGGAGAGGCAGACGGGGATGTGGTGGAGACACCTGGTGGCAGGAGGTGGGGCAGGGGCCGTATCCCGAACCTGCACCGCCCCCCTGGACAGACTCAAGGTGCTCATGCAGGTATGCAGGGAAAAGGCCCCAGACCGGGGGGCGGGGGGGCAGTTTTCACTTGGTGGATGCTGCTTGGCTACTTTTCCCTTTCTCTGACTGGTGCCGACTTTGGGCCAAACTTCCAACCCAATAAATTAGACTGGAATTATTGCTCAGACCGGAGTACCATCGGATCTACTCTAGGTGACATTTTGTGCAGAGCGGATCTAATTTTATCTGAGGCATTTAAGCCAGGCATCATATTACAAGGGCATAAGGTGGACAAGTGAAGCCAGGGAGGCTGGGTGAGGCAGGAACCAATTTCTGTAAGCACATCTTGTCCTCACCTGACCCAGACACCAGTCGGAAACCACGCCATTACCTTGGCCAGGTACACAAATCCACATCCAAACAACAGAGATAAGCTGGGCTGATGTCAAGGCAGAATTGTGAAACTGACCGACACGATGACACTTGTGGACTTTGATGTCTGAATGGTGACTGGCCACCACCTGTCTCCTTGCTCGTACCTAACCTTGTTCCAGGAGCCCAGCTTGGAAGAGCTGCCTCCGTTCCCTCCCCCCTGCCTCGCCGGGCCTCCCGGTGCTGCACAGAGACAAAGGAAGCAGGTGGTTCAGGGCAGAGAGCCTTGGGCTTGGACTCTGCCCGGGGCGCCACCACAGCTGCCTCCCTCCCTCTTGTGGCCTTGAGCAAACCCCTTTCCCTCCCAGGACTTCCCCTCCTCTGTGAAAATAGGGGCTTGTTTTTTTAGCAGAATGATCAGGAATGTTGTAGAGATTAAAAGCAGGCCTTGGGTGAAATGATAGAAGGCCTGGGATGTGTCTTTAAACCAGCATGGGTTGGGGCAGCAGGAGCTAGAGATTGGCTATGGTTTGATCATTGTCGAAGCTGAGTGGGCATTTATTCTATTTTTTAATATGTTTGAAATTTTTTTTATAATAAACTCGATTTTTAAAAATTGTTATTTTGAGACAGAGTCTTGCTCTGTCGCCCAGGTTAGAGTGCTGTGGTGTGATCTTGATTCACCGCAACCTCTGCCCCTGGGTTCAAGCAATTCTCCTGCCTCAGCCTCCCTAGTAGCTGGGATTACAGGCGCACCCCACCATGCCCAGCTAATTTTTGTATTTCTAGTAGAGACAGTTTTGCCATGTTGGCCAGGCTGGTCTCGAACTCCTCACCTCATGTGATCCGCCTGCCTCAGCCTCCCAAAGTGCTGGGATTACAGGCATGAGCTACCATGCCCAGCCTTTTTTTTTTTCCTGAGACAGTCTCACTCTGTCTCCAGGCTGGAGTACAGTGGCGCAATCTCGGCTCACTGCAACCTCTACCTCCCGGGTTCAAGCGATTCTCCGTGCCTCAGCCTCCCAAGTAGCTGGAATTACAAGCATGTACCACCACACCGGCTAACTTCCGTATTTTTAGTAGAGATGGGGTTTTACTATGTTGGAGGGCTGGTCTCAAACTCCTAACCTCAAGTGATCCACCCTCCTCAGACTCCCGAGGTGCTGGGATTACAGGTCTGAGCCACCCTGCCTGGCCTTGATTTTTTTTTTTTTTTTTTTTTTTTTTTTTTGAGGTTATCTTTACGGAGCTGTGAAGAACAAGGCTGGCAACCAGTGGATGCCCAGTACTAGCTGAACCTCACTTAGCCAAAGGGTTACTTTGGTCTCGTGGTGCCAAGCTCATCTGCAAAACCCACGGAAGAAAGACCCTTCTCTTTGGCCTCAGCTGGTTGGCCAGCAGAAGCTCTTGGCCTGGTGAGGCAGCCGTGTGGCCCTCGGGTCCATCTGACTGCTTGCTCCTCTCTCCCAGGTCCACGCCTCCCGCAGCAACCACATGGGCATTGTTGGCGGCTTCACCCAGATGATTAGAGAAGGAGGGGCCAGGTCACTCTGGCGGGGCAATGGCATCAACGTCCTCAAAATTGCCCCCGAATCGGCCATCAAATTCATGGCCTATGAGCAGGTGAGGACTCAGCTCCCCAGAGAGCGTCACTGGCCAGCGGCTACTCACTGCTTGCACTTGCTGGCTTTCCCTGGACTGAGCTCCCTGACACTTGGAGCCAGGAGCCAGCCAGGGGACGGCAGGGCGAGGCGAAAGGCCTGGGCTCGCCATCAGTTCCCTACATTTCTGGGCAGCATAAAATGTGCCAGGGACTCCAGGGCTCAGCTGAGACTGGCTCCAGGAGGAAGGGAGGGGCAGCAGCAGGTGCCCCAGCTTCTGGGTATATCGGGTGGTTTCTTTGCTCCTGGTTCTAGATCAAGCGCCTTGTTGGCAGTGACCATGAGACTCTGAGGATTCACGAGAGGCTTGTGGCAGGGTCCTTGGCAGGAGCCATCGCCCAGAGCAGCATCTACCCAATGGAGGTGAGGGGCCGCCTCAGTCCTGGGACAAGCAGTGTGCCTGGGGCTAGGGAGAGGCACAGGCTGTGCTCACGCTTCCCATTGCTCCTGTTGTGCAGGTCCTGAAGACCCGGATGGCGCTGCGGAAAACAGGCCAGTACTCGGGCATGCTGGACTGCGCCAGGAGGATCCTGGCCAGAGAGGGGGTGGCTGCCTTCTACAAAGGCTATGTCCCCAACATGCTGGGCATCATCCCCTACGCCGGCATCGACCTAGCAGTCTACGAGGTGAGCTCAAGAGGGCTCAGGCCCCTGGCCCAAGCCAGACAGGTTTAGAAACCCCCTCCCAGCACACCTCCGCCTGCTGTCTCCCTCCTTGACAGATGCATGGTTAGCGCAGGAAACCACTGCGTCTCCTTCCAGCTCCTCTGTTCATTGCAAGGCTTTCCTTTACCCTGCCTGTCCCTGGCAGCCCCCAGCAGCTCCTGTGAGCCCTGCCCCTAGGTTCTGCGTCGCCAGGGGCTCAGCAGGCAGATCTCCAGAGCAGGGTGGCCCCAGGGGCTCAAAGGCCCCAGCATGCTCCAGACAGACCCCAGAAGTCAGCCCTTCTGTGTGGGGAAGGAGGTGTTCCCTCTGCCTTGTCCTGGAATTCCCAGTGACAGCAGAAACAGGGCAGCCAGGCCTGGGCCCGGCAGCTGGGTTCCAGTGGCCTGAGGATCCAGTAACAGCCCCACCTCCCATCTCTTGCTGCTCACAAGCCCTTCCTAGGGCTTATCCCATGCTCCCTTCCCCTTCTAGACGCTCAAGAATGCCTGGCTGCAGCGCTATGCAGTGAACAGTGCAGACCCCGGCGTGTTTGTGCTCCTGGCCTGTGGCACCATGTCCAGTACCTGTGGTCAGCTGGCCAGCTACCCCCTGGCCCTAGTCAGGACCCGAATGCAGGCACAAGGTAAGGCTGGCCCTGAGCAGTCTTTTGGGAGGTCAGAGGGTGCAGACAGAAGCATCTGACTAGTGGTCTCTGTCCTGCAGCCTCCATTGAGGGCGCTCCGGAGGTGACCATGAGCAGCCTCTTCAAACAGATCCTGCGGACCGAGGGGGCATTTGGGCTGTACAGGGGGCTGGCCCCCAACTTCATGAAGGTCATCCCAGCCGTGAGCATCAGCTATGTGGTCTACGAGAACCTGAAGATCACCCTGGGCGTGCAGTCGCGGTGACGGGGGGAGGGCCGCCATGCGGTGAACTCACTGATCCTGGGCCGCTGCCCGGGGTATGCAGCCATCTCATTCTGTGAATGTGCCAACACTAAGCTGACTCGAGCCAAGCTGTGAAAACCCTGGACGCACCCGCAGGGAGGGTGGGGAGAGCTGGCAGGCCCGGGGCTGGTCCTGCTGACCCCGGCAGATCCTCCTATTGGTTCCAGGGAAGACCATAGGCATTCCTCAGGGTCCAGGGTCAGCAGGCTCTGGGCTCACATGTGTAGGGACGGGACATTTTCTGCAGTGCCTGCCAATAGTGAGCTTGGAGGCTGGCTTAGTTCTTCCATTTCATCTTTGCAGCCAGGGGTTGGCACGGCCCCTGCCCTCTGGCCTGCCACGTATCTCCCTGTTCCCCTCTGCTTCCTGCCTCACTGCTGATGTGATAGGGTGGGAGGAGGGCTGCAGCCCACATCTCACCACGCATCCAATCCCGAAATCTATGATAAAAGGTGAGGTCACGTGGCCTCCCAGGCCCCATTTCCCAGCCTATGGCATTGACACCAACTTGGCTGTGCCAGGAAGAGGAAAGGGTCTGGCCTTGCGCTGACTGGCATCTGCGCCCTGCTGATGGCTGGGGCTCCTGGGCATGCGTGGGAGTGCAGGGGCTTGGGCCGCCTGACCTGGCTGCACCGAAGGCAAGTGCTGGGGCTTACGGTGCTCCGAGCTGGCCCGGGCCCTGCCAGGACTGGCACCAGCTCCAAACCAAACTCACTGTCCCCACTGTGGCCCGAGGGCAGTGGAACACTGTGTTTGAGGGAGAAGGGCAGAGCGTTTGTATGTCCTGGAGAGGGAAGGAAAAGGTATTGGAGGCCTTAATTATGCATTGTTGGGAAAAGGGTTTTGTCAAGAAAGACAAGCTGGACACAGGAGCGAGTTCTGTGCTTCCAGAGGAAGACAAGGGAGCCGGGAGTTTGGCTGTCTGCTCAGAGTCTGTTCTGATGTCCCTGGGGGTTCCTGTCCAACCCCTGCAGGGGCACAGCGGGACCAGCCTCACATTCCACTCACGTCACTGCTTGGAACCTATTTATTTTGTATTTATTTGAACAGAGTTATGTCCTATTTTTATAGATTTGTTTAATAGCTTGTCATTTTCAAGTTCATTTTTTATTCATATTTATGTTCATGGTTGATTGACTGTACCTTCCCAAGCCCGCCTAGTGGGGTGGGAAGAGGAGGAAGCAGGGGCCTTGGGCAGCCATAGTCTTAGAATTTCAGAGAAATTCTTGGGACTGAAGGCAGAGGAGCGGCCAGAAGGCAGCAGCCCTGGCTTCGTTCCTTTGGCAGATTAGGGAAGGACTTGCCCCACCCCCAGGGAGCCTTAGGATTTCAAGATTTGACTGGGGGCTTGGGGGGGATCCCCAATAAACTTGAAGGTGGAAGTCCAGTCATCTTCTGCGCTGGGGGGTTTTCTGTATTTCACTCTTTCTGAACGGCAAGGCAGTGAGGTACCTCTCACCATGCATTTGCAGTGGGCAGGGCTGAAAGAGAGGGTGGGGGGCTGGCTCCCTCCCTCTCAGCCTTCTGCTGCCCTTGCTCAACAATGCCAGCCCACTGGCAACGCCGGCCCACTAGCAAACCTTCAATAGGATGCAAAGATCAATGCAAAAATTACTGTTATATATGAATATATATAGTTATAACTGGAATCGTCAAAAAGCAAATTAAGAAAGAATTGGAAGATGGAAGTTGTCATTTAAAGAAGCCTTCTAATAAAGTTATTTCAAAGCTTATCTTGGAGCCAGGATTTTTCTGACAGGGGCATGGGTGGTCTAGGGGTATTGATGTGTTAGAAAATGAACCCGTGTCTCCCCTCTGAAGCCTGGGCAGCACCCCCTTTGCTTCTTAGAGGCATTTCCTCTTTAATGGGTGTTTGTTCTGTTTGGGGTGTGCTAACAGTCACCAGTGCCCTGAGTTGCTGTGTAGGGTCATTCCTCAGCCTGTCTCAGAAGCAGGGAGGGAGGGGTGGTCTCTCCTACCGCCGGAAGTGCCATCTTCACAGGGACATCAAGGACATCACTGGGCTTCTCTCCCTCCTCCCAGCTGCACCCCCCCAGTCTCACTCCACTCCTGCCTCCCCACACCCTCTCAGTAACCTCATCCCCCTCAGGATTACCTTTAATATCTATATTTAGATGACCCTCCTTTTATACTTGAACCAACTCCAGCCTCATCAGTATAACTGAACTCCACATCCCCTTAAACAGCACCTCGAGCGCAGCGTGTTGGAAGCCAAACCCTTCATTTTCCTCCCAAAATCTGCTTCCATTTTCCTCATGCCAGCAAACACAACTTCTTTCTTCTGTGAACCTAAAGCAGACAGCTTGTAGTCAGCCTGACTCTGCACTTAACCTCTGTTCTAGGGCAGTCCACCAACAAATACCCTCAGCTCCACCCTCAAAATAGATCTGCTCTCTGACTGATTCTCATGCCCTCACCCCTGCCACCATCAAATGCAATGTCATGTCTCACCTGGACAATCGCAAGACCTAAACTACTTCCCCCTGCTTCCCTTCACTCTCCACCCCAAGCCCGAGGGACCCTTCGAAAACCTAAGTACATAGCCGGGCGTGGTGACAGGTGCCTGTAGTCCCAGCTACTCGGGAGGCTGAGGCAGGAGAATGACTTGAACCCGGGAGCAGAGGTTTCAGTGAGCCAAGATCACACCACTGCACTCCAGCCTGGGCAACAAGAGTGAAACTCCATCTCAGACAAAAACAGAAAAGAAATAAGAAGGGGCCCGGTGTCATTCTCCATCTGCCTTCTCTTTCTCCCCTGCACTTTTCAAGTCAATTATACTACTTATTTTCATCGCCAGGTTTCATTCTGTTCCCTCACCCTTGAATGTGAACTCCTTAAGGGTGGCCATGTCTGTTGGCTTTGTTCACTGCTGCTCCCAGCACCTGGAGCCTAAACAGTGTTCAGTGAATCCTTAACATCCAGGTGTTTCTTGGTGTCATCAACAGAATTATGCCCCTGCCACAAGATGTCCATGTCCTAATCCCCAGAACCTGTGAATCCCATTATATGGCCAAGGTGAATGAAGGTAGCAGATGGCATGACGGTTGCTAATCAGCCGACCTTCAAACAGGGAGATTATCCCGAGTGTAGTCACAAGCGTTCTTCAGTGTGGATAAGGAGGCAGGAGAGAGGAGAGACACGGCATGAGAAGGACTCAGCCCTCTGCTGCTGGCTTGAAGGTAGAGGAAGGGGCCACAAGCCAAGGAACACAGGCAGCCTCCAGAAGCTGGAAAGGTACAGAAGTAGATCCTCCCCTTCCTTCCCTGGAGGCTCCGGAAGGAACACAGCTCTGCAGACACCTTGATTTTAGCCCCGTGAGGCCCATTTCAGACTTCTGACCTCAGAACTGTAGACCTACGTTATTTAAGCCACTTCCCACCTACTGTCCCCCCTGGTGGAGATAAAATCCCCTTAGTCAGGGTTTCTTTTTTTCTTTTTCTTTTTTTTTTTTTTTTTTGAGACGGAGTCTTGCTCTGTCGCCAGGCTGGAGTGCAGTGCAGTGGTGCAATCTCAGCTCACTGCAACCTCCGCCTCCTGGCTTTAAGCAGTTCTTCCGCCTCAGCCTCCCATGTAGCTGGGACCACAGGCGTGTGCCACCACACCTGGCTAATTTTTGTATTTTTAGTAGAGACGGGGTTTCACCATGTTGGCCAGGATGGTCTTGATCTCTTGACCTCTTGATCCACCCACCTCGGCCTCCCAAAGTGCTGGGATTATAGGCCTGAGCCACTGCGCCCCGCCCTAGTCAGGGTTTCTAACCATAGCCCTGGGCAGGGAAGGGCACGGGGGACAGGGGGCACATCTCAAGGTCTGATTTGAGGCACGATGCTCCCCCAGGCCCATCTGAATCCGGCTGGCATAGAAGCTCCAGGGGAGCCCTGGGGCAGGGGGTAGGGCGGGTGGTTGGCAGACCCCTCCTCTTCCACCAGGAAGCCCAAGCTCTGTGGGGCCCTCTCAGACACTCAGGTCTTTGGGGACACAGTCACAGCTGCCTGCTCTCAGGGAAGGCCCCAACAACCCGGAGCTGGGCCACCCTGATCCAGAGAACAAGGGGTCAGGGCAGCTGCAGAGTGGCTTCCCATAGACAGACTGGGACAGTCGAAGTCCCTGTTCCACAGCATCTAAGCTGAGTGACCTTGGGCAAGTCACAACACCTCTCTGAGCCTGTTTGCTTGTCTATTAGATGAGAAGAGCAAGATGAGCCTGGGAGGGCTGTTGGAAAGTTGAACCGAAACGAGGCAGGAAATGGGATTTGACGGGTCCTACCGGCTTCATCTCCCAGCTGCCCTTCTTCTCCGGCATTCAGACACGCTCGCAGTAATCCCGCCTTAATCGTCTCTGCCTGGGATCTCCCACATCTTCGAGAAAATCCAGAGCCAACCCGAGAGCCACCTGAGCCATGCGGTCTGGTGGGTCCTTCTTGCGGGGCACTGCCCATGCAGGACTTCACTTAGCTCTCAGCAATGTAGGAGGTGCCTCGCTGCCACATCCCCATTCCACAGACAAGGAAACTAAGGTTTCAGGAGTGGAGGGGATTGGCCAGGACCTTGGATGCAGCAGACCCCCGACTGGCAAGTGGCATGCAGGGGAGTGAAGCTGGGGTGGGCTCTGCTGGGGCCACCCACCGGGAACTGGGGGAAGGCACAGAGCTGCTGCCCACAGCAGACCCTACAACCTGGAACCGTGCCACAACCCACCCGTGGGACCTTCGCCAAGTCAGACATGCCCCAGGGCCAGGCGCTCCTTGCCTCACCTCAGAAAGGTGGCACCTGGTCTCTGGCTTCCTCCTTGCAGCCAGGAGGCCACAGAGAACCTGGGAAACGTTGGGCAGACCTGCGCTTGAACCCTGGGTCCCGGTGGCGTGATCTTGAGCAAGTCTTCTGCCTCTCCGAGCCTCAGTTTCTTCACTAGCAAGACAGGGGTTGGCCTTCTGACAGCTCGTGGGGGAAGCAGCTGTTCTGGTTCACGTAAAGGGTCAATGTGAAACAGATTCAAACCAGCTCTGTTGACGCGGAAGCCCTGTTCTCACCTGGAGCTTGCCCTGCGCCGCCCTAGTCCAGATTTCACAGGTCTGAGTGCATTGGAAAGTAGGGGAAGGGTGGGAACAGGTGGGGCGGGTGTGCTGGGCCCAGCTGCCCAGGTGCGGACTTTGCTACCTACAGCAGCAGCAGGCCACGTGGCCTGGGCTGGCCAGGAGCGGGTAGCAGGAAGGGCATGGCATGATAGCACCCCCCTCCTGCAGACGGGTAAACTGAGGCCAGGGAGGGCTCCAGGCCTGCCCCACTTCTCTGAGGGGCAAGATAAACCTGAGGTCTCCTGCTCTCAGCTCCTCTGAACACAGGGGCTGGCCAGGGAACACTGGAGAACCTGAACTCTCTTGGTCACTATCACCCACCAGCACAGCCCGGCGGCCCGGGAGAAGCCGTTATCACCCACAGCAGTTGTTGAGGCTGAAGAGAGACGAAGCTGGCTCCACCCACGCTAGTCAGTATGGAGCACCCCTGGCAGAACCAAACAGCCCAACCTCCCACCCCTCATCTTACAGATGAGGAAGCTGACACAGACTGGAAGCCCTGGGACTTGCCCAGGTCACCACGTGCGCCACCACTGTTTCTCTTCCCTGACTACACCTGGCTTAAACCTCACGTATTACTGTCCTGGAGCAGCTCTGACCAAACCACATACTTGGTAACTTCAAACACCACAAATAGCTGGGAGCCCGGGCGCACACCTGTAATCCCAGCACTTGGGGAGGCGAAGGCAGGCAGATTGCTTGAACCCAGGAGTTAGAGGCCAGCTTGGGCAATATAGTAAGATCTCATCTTTACAAAAAATACAAAAATTAGCCAGGTATGGTGGCACACATCTGTGGTCCTAGCTACTTGGGAGGCTGAGCCTGGAGGACCACTTGAGCCCATGAGTTGGAGACCAGGGTGGGCCACATAGAGTCTATATCTGCAAAACATTAAAAGAAAAATTTTTCTGGCCGGGCGCGGTGGGTGGCTCATGCCTGTAATCCCAGCACTTTGGGAGGCTGAGGCAGGCAGATCACGAGGTCAAGAGATCGAGCCCATCCTGGCTAACATGGTGAAACCCTGTCTCTACAGGTATTGATCGACTTACGACCTATGCAACTTATGACCATTCGACGTTACGACCACAATTGCTAGCCACGACTGCTCCGCGTCTGGCGGCACAAACGTTGCCCAGCTGGGCGTACGACAGTGCGGACCAGCTTCCGGCAGCACTACCATCTCCGCGTGCATATAGCCTACTCAACTTATGACCAAATCGTGTTACGACCGGTCTGTCGGAACCAATCGTGGTCATAAGTCGAGCACTAGCCATACTAAAAATACAAAAATTAGCTGGGCATGGTGACTCACGCCTGTAGTCCCAGCTACTCCGGAGGCTGAGACAGAAGACTAGCTTGAACTCGGGAGGTGGCGTACTGGGACAAGTCCTAACATGTATGATAAAGTATATTGTTTGCTGAGAACAATGGCAAGGCAAACCTGGCTGCCCGCTCCCCCACCAAGTGGACAACTACTTGGGGCATTCTAAAGTAGCAAAACAGTATATGTATATCATACACCGGTTAAAACAATTATTTAAGCACGGGATACGTGACCCTGCCCCCGGGGCTCCCTCGTGCAGAATACTTGTTAGTTTGTCTGTGATCAGTGGTAAGCAGGCACCAGCTGCCTACCTAGTTTATTTTTGTTTTAGGAGAAAACACAGAACACCTGTCAATAATAATCACCTGTTCAGAGTCCGCTCGAGGCCCTCAGCCCCGAATGCTGTCAGCCCCTGAGGCTCACAGCTCGGAAGGCTGCTGGCCCTCGGATAGTATCACTTTGCTGTTCTATCTGGGTGTCTGCTTCTTAACGCCTTCAGTGCCGCCTGAGGAGGGGTCTCTACGGCCGAGCAGGACCCAATAGCAGAGGTTGTAGTGAGCCAAGGTTGTAGTGAGCCAAGATTGCGCCACTGCACTCCAGCCTGGGCGACAGAGCAAGACTCCGTCTCAAAAAAAAAAGAAATTATCCAGGCATGGTGGCACATGCCCATAGTCCCACTGATTCAGGAGGCTGAGGTGGCGGTACACTTGAACCTAAGAGTTCAAGGCTGCAGTGAGTCGTGATCATGTCACTGTACTCCAGCCTGAACAACAGAGCAAGACCCTGTCTCAAAAAAAACAATGGACACACAAAAGCAAACCAGCATCCTCCCCATGAGCTCACTCTCCCCAGGGAGGAGTGGGCTTGCTGTTCTCAGGACTCTTTCCGTTCTTACTTCCTGGAGTCCTTGACCTTGAGCTCTTGGAGCCAGTGGGGAACACAGCAGGGAGTATGTTCTGAGAACAGACGGCAGACCCTACCAACCTCATAAAAACACCCCTCGCGTATCGACTCTGTATCATCATCCAAAACACCTTCCCAGCCCTGGGCTTACCCGTCCCATGGAGGTTTACTGATGCCATTTCCCAGTTGGGATGGGGCTTGCCCAAGGTCACAGTGGCCAGTGGCCAGGTCCTGAACTCAGGCCTTCTGAAGCCATCAAGACCACAGGGAGCCGTGAATGGTGGCTCACACCTGTAATCCTAGCACTTTGGGAGGCCAAGGCGGGAGGACTGCTTGAGGTCAGGAATTTAAGACCAACCTGACCAACTTAGCAAGAATCTGTCTCTATTTTTTATAATCTATTTAGAGATGGAGTCTTGCTCCGTCACCCAGGTTGGAGTACAGTGGCACAATCTTGGCTCACTGCAGCCTCCATCTCCTGGGTTCAGGTGATTCTCCTACCTCAGCCTCCTGTGTAGCTGGGATTACAGGCACACACCACCAGACCCAGCTAATTTTTGTATTTTTAGTAGAGATGGGGTTTTGCATACTGGCCAGGCCAGTCTCAAACTTTTTTTTTTTTTTTTTTTTTTTTTGAGACGGAGTTTCACTCTTGTTACCCAGGCTAGAGTGCAATGGCGCGATCTGGGCTCACTGCAACCTCCGCCACCTGGGTTCAGGCAATTCTCCTGCCTCAGCCTCCTGAGTAGCTGGGATTACAGAGTGTGCACCACCATAGCCAGCTAACTTTTGTATTTTTAGTAGAGATGGGGTTTCACCATGTTGACCAGGATGGTCTCGATCTCTTGACCTCGTGATCCACCCGCCTCAGCCTCCCAAAGTGCTGGGATTACAGGCGTGAGCCACCGCGCCCGGCCAGTCTCAAACTTCTGACTGCAAGTGATCTGCCCGCCTCAGCCTCCAAAAGTGCTGGGATTACAGGCATTAGCCACCATGCCTGGCCAAGATTTTCTTTTCTTTTGAGAGGGAGTTTCGTTTCGTTGCCCAGGCTGGAGTGCAGTGGCCATGTGATCTAGGCTCACTGCAACCTCCCTGGCCTCTATTTTTTCAACAAAGAAAGAAAAAAAGACCACAAAGGTCATGCCGTCACCTGAACATGCCACGAATTCGGCAGGGATTCCTGGCTTTGGGCCAGTTCCTAAGAAGAGGTTTGTTTTGTTTTGTTTAGAGACGAGGTTTCACCTTGTTGGTCAGGGTGGTTTCAAACTCCTGACCTTAGGTGATCCACCCACCTCGGCCTCCCAAAGTGCCGGGATTACAGGCATTAGCCACCACGCCCAGCCTTTTTTTGAGGGTCTCACTTTGTTGCCCAGGCTGGAGTGCAGTGGTGCAATCATAGCTCGCTGCACCCTCAAATTCCTGGGCTCAGATGACCCTCCCACCTCAGCCTCCTGAAGTGCTGGGCTTGCAGGGATGAGCCCCAACTTCTAGAGGCATGTTTTTTCCTAGCCACTTATTTTCGGACTCTTACAGCTAAGCCCATTTTACAGATGGGCAGAGTCACTGAGCAGCGAGGGTTCCGAGATTCATTCCAGGAATTGGCCGCGAGGTGGCAGCACCAGGCCTTGCTTCCATCTCCTACGAGGCTTGGTGGGCTCTGGTGCCCTCTGGTGGCTTTTAGGAACCACATCAAGAGGTCTGACGGAGAAACATGGGGAAACTGAGGCAGGGTTGTGGCCTCTTGGGAGAGGGATACTCGTGGGGAGAAGCTGGGTCGAAGTGGTGTCCTGCCATGGCCTCAGGATGACTGGCAATTCTCCAGCCTGTCAGAGAGGTCTGGTTAGCACAGTCCTGGGCCCTTTCATCAAAGTGAGCACTCAGGGAAGGAGGGTGCAGGCTCCTCCCCAACTGCAGCAGCCCCGGGGATAGAGCCCTAGTCCAGGACTCAGGCCCCTGTTCCTAGCACGGCTCAGCTGCCAACAAGATCTCCTTCTGTTTCCTCCTAAGGAAGGAAACCTTATCCTTAAGTCTGTGAAGCCAGAGAAAGGGGCAATGCCTGGTGGCTGAGGCCAGGCCTACACCCGGGGCCTCCTAAGACAGACCAGGGCCTCGAGGGGAGGCTGCAGGGAAGAGGCACAGCCTGCACTCACTGGGCTGAGCAGGAGGAACAGAAAGGGCTGGGAGCACAGGGTGGGGTTCTGGGCAGTGAGACCCTCCCCTGGCCTCCTTGTCATGAACAGAAGGTGGATGCCTTGTAACAAGCTGGCCACATCAGATGCTTTCAGGACTTTGGCTCTGAGACAGAGAGGTGAGTCAGCCTCCGTGTGCAGCTAGAAAGGTATCAGGTAACCATGGGTGAGGTCTGAGGAGGCAGGAAGAGCCTGTCTGTGAAGGGAGGGGAAGTGAGAGTGCAGAGCAGGGATGGAGGATGCTAGGATGGAAGGGCGAAGGGATGCAGGAATGGAGAATGGAGGGGTGCGGGGATGGAGGGGTCCTTGGAGCAAAGGCCCCTCAGGACTTTGGGCCTGACCAGTGAAGTGGAAGTGCCGTTCTGGGCACTGTGGTGGGTCTGGGGCCCCTACACCTGTTGGCCCCTCAGAGGCGGCTGCCACGGCTCCTCAGGTCACAGATGGGGACAGCCTCAGGCCTGGCTGCCACCTCCCACCTACAGCCCTAGTACCTGGAGTGAGCACCCCCAGAGAGCTAGTGGGGGGCTGGCTGGTGGACTGTGGTGCATCCAGGTGGCAGGGCACTATGCAGCCATATGGACAAGCCAGTGTGACACAAGCCAACAGGGAGACGCCCAGGAGGGGGATGAGAACATAGTGGGTGGCAAGCCAGCCCGTGGGAGAAACCGAGGTCACCAACCACACAGGCTACAGGTCAGGGCCTGCCCCTACCCATGGCTCCAAATGTCACATGGTGCTTCCAAATGTCACACCGCCTGCCTCGAGCTCTTGAATGTTAGCTATTACAGAACGGGAATTATTTTGTTTTTAAAATACTACTAATAAAATGTAAAAAGTTTCGCCGGGCGCAGTGGCTCACACCTGTAATCCCTGCACTTTGGGAGGCCTAGATAGGTGGATCACGAGCCAGCCTGGCCAAGATGGTGAAACCCCATCTCTAAAAATAAATAAATAAAATAATTAACTCCCTGTAAAAAACAAAAAAAGTTGCCTGGCCAGGCGTGCGATCTCAACACCTGTAATCCTGGCACTTGGGGAGGCTGAGGCGGGCAGTTCGCTTGAGACCTAGAGTAAGACCGGCCTGGGTACTATGACAAGACCCAATATCTACAAAAACATAAAAAATTAGCTGAGGATGTTGATGCGGGCCTGTCGTTCCAGCTACTTGGGGGCTGAGGTGGGAGGATCCTTGAACCTGGGAGGTCGAGGTGCAGTGAGCTATGATCCCGCCACTGCATGCCAGACTGGGTGACAGAACAAGACACTGTCTCAAAAAAGTTTCTCAAGAAGGCAATACCCATAATTCCCATAGGGCATTGCCCAGTCCACGAAATTGGGAGGGCCCAGCGGGTGGGGCCCCGCCTGGCCTCTGGAGGCCCCCAGCAGCCCACCCCACCTCAGTGAAATCAGGGAACTGAGGAGCCCCATCCTGGGTGCTCTGTGCAGGAACCCACACTCACCCTCAAAGGCAGAGCCTCTTCTCCCACAGACCCTGGCCTAGCTGGGACTGAAGCCAGGGGTGGCCACCTGAGGGGCCTGTGCTCCCCTCTGTAGCACAGAGGTCTGAATAGCCTGGTGCTCTGGGCATTTGACCTGCTCCTATCACTGGACTCTCCTGCAAGGCAGGGACAGATGAAGAAACTGAGGCCTGATTAGGGACCCCACCTCGAGGTCCCACCATGGAGTCCCACTGTGGATAGGGACAGGCCCCAACCTGCACCCTGGCTGTGAGGCTCCACAGCAGGCTGTGTGCCGAGTGGTATCCTGGGGACCACGGCCCTGCGCAGCCGTCCCATGGCTGCCACCTGGGAAGCACCAGGCCAGTGGTTAGTTACCGCCAGGGCTGCTGCAGCGCGAGTCTGACGCCTCCCTTGACCGCCAGCCCCACGCAGCACTGAGCCACACAGAGCTCCAAGCGATGCCCGCCGTGACAGGGGCCACAAACCTTTCCTTTATTGCAAACGTGTCCCAGTCCCAGGAGGCTTGGGAAGAGTGGGAACCAGGGAAACCCAGCAATGGGATTCCACTGAAAATGAACCGTTCTGCTGTCCTGCCAGGGCCCCCACCCACAGGATGTAGCCACGGGACAGCCACTGAGGGCCTGGGAGAGAGGCGGCATAGTAGCGAGGCTAGGACAGGGAAGGTCCGGCCCAGGGCAGGGGCAGGGGCAGGGCTGGAACTCGTCCCCAACATCCCTGGGCTCCAGCAAGTGCCCTGTGTTAGAAGCAAGAGGGCTAGGGGGGTGGGTGGACAAGAGCCAGAATGATCCTGGCCCCACCAGCATTGCCAGGTGCTGGCTCAGTGGCCCCAGGCCCTGGCAGCTGGCGTCTTCCGCTGCCTTCCCCTGCTGCTCGGGGAGACACTCAGTGCGCTGGGGAGGCCTCGGTGATGGCCCTCTCCACCCGCAGGTACCAGGGCTGGATGTGCGTGTGCTGCATCAGGTCATCAAAGGCATCCAGCCCCTCCATCACTCGCAGCACGCCATACACCGCCTGGGCATGAAACAAACGCATCACCACAGCCGGCTTGATAGATATCCAGAGCTCCCCCTTCTCTGCCAGCTGTGTGCCAGGGCTCGTGACACACTCAAGGGCCAACAGCACAGGCGGGGCTTTGAACAAAGCCTGTGGGGTGGCTGCAGGCCTCGCCTGCTTCACACTGCACCCCCTTTTCTGGGCCACAAACCCCCCAGTAAGTTTCCTTGGGATAAATGCCCTCCTCCACTCTCAGGTCCTGAGATTGGAGAGAAGAGACCTCACCACTCAGTTTCAAGACCCAGGC